GTTATTACCATATCTACATCACTGGAAACCTCACCCAGTTTGTGTAATATTAACTGTTATTACCATATCTACATCACTGGAAACCTCACCCAGTTTGTGTAATACTAACTGTTATTACCATATGTAGATCACTGGAAACCTCACCCAGTTTGTGTAATATTAATTGTTATTACCATATCCACATCACGGGAAACCTCACCCAGTTTGTGTAATATTAACTGTTATTACCATATGTAGATCACTGGAAACCTCACCCAGTTTGTGTAATATTAACTGTTATTACCATATCCACATTACTGGAAACCTCACCTAGTTTGTGTAGTGTGAACTGTTATTACCATATCCACATCACGGGAAACTTTAGCCAGTTTGTGTAGTGTTAACTGTTATTACCATATGTAGATCACTGGAAACCTCACCTAGTTTGTGTAATATTAACTGTTATTACCATATCCACATTACTGGAAACCTCACCCAGTTTGTGTAATACTAACTGTTATTACTATATCTACATTACTGGAAACCTCACCCAGTTTGTGTAATATTAACTGTTATTACCATATCCACATTACTGGAAACCTCACCCAGTTTGTGTAATACTAACTGTTATTACCATATCTATATTACTGGAAACCTCACCCAGTTTGTGTAGTGTTAACTTTTATCATATTTAGATGTCTGCTTCACGAGAAAATTCACCCGGTTGAATTTTTGTAGTTTAAAAGAAATTTCGTCTTAATTTTCAACTGTGATCGACTGGCAAAACATTTACTTTAAAGAGGTGACCGGTAACAAGTTTTGTTACCATCTCTCGCGCTCAACTTATCAGCTAACAGTCCATTGGCATTCTGTCCTTAAAATTTCACCCCCACCCCCATCGAATTCCCCACATGGTTTGAGAGAAATAAGCTGGTTAACGACCACTTTAGGCTTATTACCAACAACTAGATAACATGATGTGGACACTAAGAAAAAGCTTCATTTAAGAAGTGTACTTGTATGAGAGGTAGGTATAAAACTCGCAACTTTAGTGAGTAACCCGGATATCACGTGTATAGAACAGTTTCAGTCACGTACAGACATGACAGTTTCAGTTGACAAGACAGTTTACTTATGTACAACATTTAAAGTTTTAGCTAAAACTCAGATTAGATACACATGGAACTGACAGTTTCAGTTAATAAGGTAATTTACTTATATGGCAAATATGTATCTATGGAACGGGTATTTTCATTAACTGAGCCATCTAGTTAGAATTGCTGGTTCCACGTGTATGGAACTTACAGCTTCAGTTAATGAGCTGACAGTTTTAATACTATTTCTCTATGATATTAAAACAACCTCAACTGGTCAAGATTTGTATATTATTGGCTAGCCGTCAGACGACTTCGCTTGTACAAAAACAAACCCTGGCGTGGACGACCTGAATAACATTTAACAGATTCTTAATCTTTATTTTTTTTCCTTTGGTGGTGTAGGTAGGGGAGAGAGTTTTCTTAGTGGCGTTCAAATAAATTTACCAGAAACTCGTTAACACACCAATTGAAAAGCGAGGCTCCCGTGTTCTCATTTTCGGCAA